TCCTAATCTAACTTAAACGAATCCAAAATAACCGACCCGCATAGGATCAAACCCACCACCGCTTAAGGAATTCCAAATATCCTTCCATGACTTCTCCAGGATTTCTCCAGCACTTCTACATGACCAACGAAATTCCGCATAAACTTTCCAGGACATCTCCGGCACTAGTTAACGACTTATCCAGGATTTATCCAGGACTTTTCCAGTAATTCTCCCGGACTTCTCCACAGGGCTAGTGCCAAATACATAAACCTCAAACTACCATATTTGATGAGGTGATTAGGTTAAAATAAACATGGTAGGCGAGTCTACAGTAATCCCTTGCCAAGGACGTCTTCAATTTGTATGCAGTAAGGCAGATATTTCATGTCTAATTAATATACGACGTTTTCAGTTAATATATTCTGGAATGGTTTTTGGGGTTGTGTGAAAATATAAATCACAGATCATTTTTTTGATCATGAGTCAAATTTACGAAAACAGAAATTTTGGAAGACGAATTTACTCTGTATCACATAAAAATCTGACCACTAATATAATAAATGTGCATATTCTTTTAACAAGATAAAACATAATAACGTTTGAATTTACATGTTTGGTTTCTTGATCAGGTCACACCTGTTAACTTATTCTAGTTCTATACTTATAAACCTAAGCGAGTAGGGAGTTACAAAACTGTAAATCGAATATGTTTAGTAATTGCGTGGCGTATATAATAATAGTTCCTTCATTATACCAATATTATGACGGACACTACCAACTGTGCAAAGAAAATTTAAAATACGCGAGGTTTCGATAAGTGTCTCTACTCCAGCCTTTAGAAAATTGTCTCTCTTTATGCTCAAGGTAGTCATTTATTGCTGGTATTCTGACCCCATGATATTATATAAACCGATAAGTCCAAACACAAGGATATATTGCAAAGCGTATACATATAATAAATGAAACGCGACGTGATGTTTCATCTCATAACGCATCTGCGAAGCGAACGTATATTGTCTATAACACAATTACAATGCTGACAATAAAAAATACAATTAAATACACGGTAGATAAACTAATTACCTCCAAGCTCGTCTTACGAAAGTGAACGACAACAATTTTAATAACAAAAATACGGTTTCCACCCTATGTTTGTTCCAAAGAACTAAATAGAGTCTGAAATGTTTGCCGAATACGTTTTCTGATATCAACATGTGTCAAATTCCAGTCTTCAGACTTCTTTAATTATCCCGATTTATAAATTAATACATAATTCAAGACGTCAATTATAAATTACAAACGATATTCCACTGGTTATTTCGCTGTTCGACCTAAGCCCATAGTCGTTATGTTCAACTCTTTCTGTCCATCAACTCTTTACGTCTACAACTAATTAAAAATAATACTTCTCTGGAGAAAATCGAAAAAAAAAGAATTAAGTTTAGGAACAAAGGGAGGATAATAGACTCTTTGGAAGCATCCATTCTATCTAACATCCTGCTTGCTCCCTCCTTCAAAATTTATCTTATTTATATAATTCTTCTTCGGCAAGTCTTTTTTATTATCTGGCAACTCTGAAGAAACAAGGTTAAAAAAGATGTGGATGTTGAAGAAGTGCAATAGAATTAGCAGCCCAGCGTGAATAATGAGCTCGAGCTCAAGCACAAAGTTTATCAACTATTCCAGCCTGCGCTTTCATTGTTCGCCCGCATACACTCCAATATATTCTGCTAGTAATAGGTAAAGTTACCCGGGAATTAGGAACACTAATTGAAAGAATCGCATTTCGTTCCTATCATAGAGTGAAGAAGGATTTTCAACAGCAAAAACAATTAATAATGACAAGAATAAAATATAATAATGCTGACGCACAACACTCGCTTACGTCAGAAATTCCGTCTTCGTCGATTAAAAAAATATTTACTTTTACAGTATAATGCTATTATTAGTTTTATGAGAACATAAAATTAATTGAGCTGGTTTGATTGTAGTCCAATGACGAATTTTTATGAACTCGATAAAGAAACTGTTTCTGGATTTCAGATTTTAAATCCGATAAAAAGTGGTAGTGGAACCACGCCTACGGAGAATCTGACGTAAATACGTCTCTGTATTTAAATTATATTTAGGCAATAAATAAAATGAAAGGAAGGTGGTTAAAAGACTTTACCACGTTTTAAAATCTTGAGTAAGAAACTAAACTCACCTCCCCTGAAGGGTTAAAACACTTGACCAACCACTTGGTCAAGATTCCTAGGTAACAACAATGCCGAGTAAACAGATGACGTTTCCTAGGTAACCATTGTTGTCGATTTGTTGATATTGATCTTACACATTTTGACGTGAATACGTCTGTAAAGTCAGACCGACATATGGGGTACCAGGACGGAAACGGCGATGTAACGTTTGCAGGGTGATCCATTCCGACACTATAATCTCGTCACTAATAACACGATTTAAATAAATGTGGTCTCGTTCGATCGGGTATACGACTACGATGCGAGTATGACCTTGAGTGGTGCCGCGCATGCGCGAGGCTCGGGTGGCGGCCTGCGTCGACTGGCGGCCATTTTCGGCGTGGGCGAAAATTTCCGGGCAGAATATCTCGCGACTCCGATGTGCTAGCGCGTTGATTTTGGTGCCAAACGACACAGGCACACCCCGAGTTTTTTGTGTCCCGTCTTCGTTACACTTATTTGCCGAATGACCCTTCCGTATAGATGTATTTACGTCAAAATAAAAAGGTCTATGTATAGATATATTTGTGTCCTATTTCCATAAGAGGTTAGGAATAAAGACAACATAAATTGTTGTAAGTTAAATGAATCCCTTAAACATCACTGCTGTTTGTAGGTGCATACAAGAGCACACAGCATCACAACCTAGAAGACCATGACTGAGAGGTACATGACTTTTTAAAGGATTCATATAAATAGTGGTAGACTGATCTACAAGTGGTCACTGGGATGTAATGTTTACATCTTGGACATATATAGTTCTTTATCTACTACCCTGATCATCCCCTCTGATTCCCATGCCTTTTACTCCTAATGCACAGTTCTGTCCTGGCCAATTTACTGAAACAGGTTGAACATTAAACTTAACAGAAATTGTATAAACTTAAACGTATGAGACTGTGACTCCAGTTACTGTAGTGCATATCAAAAGGCTGATGTAAACTAAACCAAGACACAGTTCGGAAACGAAAGTCTGTAGGCAAAAGACGAAGGCAAGACACATCAATGTTTCTCTGGCTACAATTTATTTGAAAATAATTATGCACTTTCAATCAATATAAACACTTTAAAATGTTATGTCTCATAGTTATGTTACCTTAGAAACTAATTGTTAGTTATCTGTTTACTCGGCATGTTACCTAAGAAACTAACTGTTATGTTATCTGTTTATTCGGCATAGTTGTGTTTCTTTCTGCCGTCAACAATCCGCTTTCGTTATTGAGGAAAGAGCTGAGCTGTGAATCGCTTGTAGAAGAAGTGCGTCGTACAGTAGATAATATTGTGCTGCCAAAAACGTTTTAGAATATCTGCCCTCCACTCTCTCGATTTTAGATCGTGGTCTTCTACAATTAAACAAAGGTTGAGGTAAGGGATTCCTATTTATATTTATTGTTTATCACAGTTACTGTTTTTATCTGCATTTGTGAACTCTTTTAAAAGAATTAGGCTTGTAGACAGTTCGTATACTTAAGGTACCGGAGCCAAAGTTACAAGGCATTATTCCCACACCACGTGAACCAACGCGTCGTTGAATCTCCGTTGAGGCTCACACGGTATAGAAATTGTTTTTAAGATTTTACATCGAGGTCGGAGTCGGTACATTTTTACTGACTCCTACTCCACCTAAAATTGTATCCGACTCCACAGCCCTGTGGAGGAATATGGGATAATTCCTGGTAACGTCATTGATATATCCTGGATGTCCTAAAATGGTGTCGGAGATGTCCTGGAGAGGTTATGCGGATTTTCTTTGGTCATGGAGAAATCCTGGAGAAGTCCTGGAATGTTATTTGGAACTCCTTAAGCGGTGGTGGGTTTGATCCTATTCGGGTCGGTTATTTTAGATTTGTTTAAGTTTGATTGGGATAAGCTAGATTGTATTAGGTAGCGTTGTGGTTTAGGTTGTGTTGTGTTGGGTTACGTTTGGTTTGTTTAGGTTAGGTTTGGTTTGGTTTGGTTAGCTTAGATTAAGTTAGGTTTGGTTTGGTTAGGTTAGGATAGGTTCAATTAAGTTAGGTAAGTTAAGGTTGCGTTATGTAAGGTTGTTGTTTTACGATGGGTTTGGTTGTCCTGGAGAATGTGTAAATATGGACCGACAACAATGGTCAGCTTTTATATGAACTCCTGCGTGCATTGTTATGTTACCTTAGAAACTAATTGTTAGTTATCTGTTTACTCGGCATGTTACCTGAGAAACTAACTGTTATGTTATTTGTTTATTCGGGATTGTTGTGTTCCATTACTACCGTGAACAAGCCGCTTTCGTTATTGCGGAAAGAGCCAAAGTGTGAATCGCTTGTAGAAGAAGTTCGTCGTAGAGTAGATAATATTGTGCTGTTAAAAACGTTTTAGAATATCTGCCCACCATTTCAGATCGTGGTCTCCTACAATTGAACAAAGCTTGAGGTAAGGGATTCCAATTTATAATCATTTTTCATCACATTTAATGTTTTCATCTGCATTTGTGAACGCTTGTAAGAGAATTAGGCTTGTAGACAGTTTGTATTCTTAAGGTACCGCAGCCAAATTTACAAGGCAATATTCCCACACCATGTGGCTCAACGCGTCGTTGAATCTCCGTAAGAGTTAGCCTCACACGGTATAGATATTGTTTTTAAGATTTTATATCGAGGTCGGAGTCGGTACATCTTTACTGACTGCGACTCCACCTAAAATTGCATCCGACTCCACAGCCCTGTGGAGGAATCTGGGAGAATTCCAGGTAAAGTCCTGGATAAGTCCTAAAGTAGTGCCGGAGATGTCCTGGAGAGGTTATGCGGAATTTCTTTGGTCATGGAGAAGTGCTGGAGAAATCCTGGAGAAGTCCTGGAATGTTATTTGGAATTCCTTACGCGGTGGTGGGTTTGATCCCATGCGGGCCGGTTATTTTGGATTCGTTTAAGTTTGGTTAGGTTAGGATAGGTACAGTTAAGTTAGGGAAGTTAAGGGTGCTTTATATAAGGTTGTTGTTTTACTTTGGGTTGGGTTGTCCTGAAGAATTTCTATCGTATTCATCGTGTGGTCGTTGGGACGTCCTGGAAATGTCCTTGAAAATCCTGGAAAATTCGTGGAGAAATCCTAGAAAAGTCCTAGAGTAGTGTCAGAGAAGTCCTGGAGACGTTATGAAGAAATTTTTTTGTCATAGAGAATTGCTGGTGGTCATTTGTAAGCCCTTAAGCGGCGGTGGGTTTTATCCCATGCGGGTCGGTTCTTTTGGATTCATTTAATTTGGATTGAGATAAGTTACATTGGATTAGGTTGCGTTTAGGGTTAGGTTATGTTCTGTTAGGTTTAGTAGGGTTAGGTTAGGTTAAGTTTTTTATGTTAGGTTAGATAAGGTTGTTTTGTTTTACGTCTGGTTATGTTTTACCCTAGAGAATTTCTAGCGTTGTTCGTGAGGATGTCCTGGATACGTGCTGGAGAAACAGGGCTGTGTTGTCAGTAATAAAATCCCTGACATCATTATTTTGTCCGTATGTTCTAACGTTTTGAGAAAGCAAACGCATTTCATCGCTTGCCGGCAAATTGCTACAGCTTTCTAACCTGAACTCTTCTATTTAAATGAATACCGCAAAGAACGCGAATGGTGGCATTTAGCGTGCATTATTCTGGCATTTATTTTTCTAGGTAGTAGATATCTTGTCATGTCTGTATGCATGTTTCCCCGCTACACTTCATGGACAAATTTCCCTTTTGCTTACTAGGTGGCAGTCAGTTCGTGAAAGTCGGAGTACAGAAGCAACAGCAATATAAAGTGGTTAACTCAGATAATTCAATAAGCCACATACAAAGTGTGAAACATGCCTGCTGTTAAATCGAAAAGTAAAAGGAAGATGCCGGCTAAAAGAAAATCAACGAGGAAAGTTAAGAGTTGCGCAGTTTCTAAGAGAAAGTGTAAGTATAACCTCACCTATATCAATATTAAATCTTAATATATTAGTTGTCGAGACTCATTTTAGGTGTTCTTGCATATGTGTACAGAACATCACAGCTAGTGTTCAACATGTGATCCCCGAACACTCAGACACATATTGAGATAACTTATCCTATGATGCTCATTGAAGTTCATCTTTGATTCAAAAAATATATTGTTATTTTGTTCTCTGAGGCCTCCAGATTGTGTAGATTCATTATGGAAACTTTGTTTCATTTTTCCCCAGAAATAAAATAATAATAAGTGTTTATAACTGCTTGTGTTGGGTTTATAAATACATTCAATATTTAAATGCTGTGTGATAAACATTTTCAGGTCGCCCAAGTGCTCCCAGAAAAATTAAGAAAGCTGTAGAAAAAGCTGCAAAGGAAGTAGTAAGAGATAGTATGAGGGGTAGAAATGTAATGCGAAAGAAATCGTCTGGCTCAAAGAAATCAACTTCTCGTAGATCAAGACGCAGCAAGAGGAGAACGTGAATGTTTGGAATTTATGTTTCTCATACAAAAATGTTCATCCTTGAATATTGATTAAAAACCCATTAACAAATGTAATACAGTGTGTCCAGAAAGTCCCTTCGGGGATTTGAAAAATTGAGCTAGTCACATGCGGTTTGCGGAACATTACAGTGAAACTCTGGAAACTTTTCACTGACCTCAGTAGAACGTCCAGATGATATTCGAGCTCTTGTCATGTTCTGTGGAGCATGTTGGCTGGAGCAAGTCCGTTAACTGGTGACCTGAAGACCAGTATCTGGAAGGCGATCTCGGCTATTCCACAGAACATGGCAAGAGCTCGAATTTCGTCTGTACGTTCTCCGTGCTACCAAGGGAGCCTACATCGAGGTCTACTGAGGTCAGTAAAACACTTCCAGAGTTTCACTGTAATTGGCCGCAAACCGCATGTGGCTAGCTCAATTTGGTTGCGCGCCACAATTTTTCAAAACCCCGAAGGGATTTTGTGGACACGCCGTACATTTCAAATGTAATACTTCATGAGATTTGCTGTTTTGTGGGTTTATGATAAAATTTAATCATACAAATATATTACTTGATTTGCTTGCATTTGAAATTGTTATTTTGTAATGTAGAGTCAGTCCATGCATAGACATGCTTCTGTTTTGCAATAAAAATATATCTGCAGTAGTACAACAACCTTATATAACGCACCCTTAACTTACCTAACTTTACTGAACCTATCCTAACCTAACAAAACCAAATCAAATCTAACCCAACCCAACCTAACTCACAACGCTACCTAATACAATGTAACTTATCCCAATCAAACTTAAACGAATCCAAAATAACCGACCCGCATAGGATCAAACCCACCACCGCTTAAGGAGTTCCAAATAACCTTCCAGGACGTCTCCAGGATTTCTCCAGCACTTCTCCATGATCAAAGAAACTCCGCATAACCTCTCCAGGACATCTCCTTCACTACTTTAGGACTTATCCAGGATTTATCCATGACTTTTCCAGGAATTCTCCAGGTCTTCTCCACAGGGCTAGTGCGAAATCCGTAACTGGTCGAGTGCCATATTTGATGAGGAGATTAAGTTAAAGTAAACATGGTGGGCCAGTCTACAGTAATAAGGACGTGCAATACGCAGCGCAATTTACTTATACTGTTTACTGTCAAGTCTGCGTCATTGTCTAACATTAGACAGTTCACTGCAGCACACTTAGAATTTCGTAAGAATTACAATTCATTACGAAATAAAGTACAGGGAGAATATTTGACCTAAAACTGGTGCGATATTGAAGAGCAGTTATATGTGCACATTTTTTACACTACAGACAATTTTTGTCTGTGTTCCGCCATTGAAGTGAATTCTATTTTGTTTTGCCAGTCTTCTTCTGGGTGGGGAGAGGGAGAGAGAGAGAGAAAATATAAGTGTCATTATAATTCGCGTCAACTGCACCTTCTTTAAAACTGGGACTCTTTAGGCCTATATGAAATTCTGTGCTCCTAGTATTTCTGAACACCGGACGTGGTAGAAGACACTCGTTCAAAGGGCGGTGATGAAGAGCCTGATTCTGTATCTTTTATCTGTGTAAAGGGAATGAACGTCAGTGTGTTCGCTGGTACCTCTGCCGTCCATGGTTTCAATTCAGTATGCTCCTCTAGGTCGCAATTGTTGTAATTTCTTCAAATCTGCACACATGCCAAGGAAAAATATTTCACTTGCTAAATTACACAATTTAGCAGTCATTATAAGACACAGGTAATAATATTAATTACAAAAAATTGGCAGTGGAACCACGGTTCCCTAGTTAACGTTGAATAACGTTTTACTGTAGAAGTATATTAGTACTGAAATAAAATTTTATTTACACATTAATGTATACATTTACATCTTATCTATACGTAACGTCATCCGACTACGGCTTATCTATGTGTTGCGTCATGTACTCAACACACTCACTCTAGAACCCTTCTCTGTTACCAAATAAATGGCCAAAACTCCTAAACCGTAAGAGTT